AGCAACATGGCTGTTTATTCACCTGGGTGCAGGTGGGCTGAGGCCGAAAAGGGCGTCAGTCTGAATTGTTGATTTTCTTTTTCCTTCTCTCTTTTTAAATTTTTTCCCTTCCCTCCCCCACCCCCCCTTTTTTTTTTTGAGACAGAGTTTCACTCTTGGTGCCCAGGCTGGAGTGTAGTGGTGCAATCTCGGCTCACTGCAGCCTCTGCCTCCCAGGTTCAAGTGATTCTCCTACCTCAGCCTCCCAAGCAGCTGGGATTACAGGCAAGCACCACCATGCCTGGTTAATTTTTGTGTTTTTAGTAGAGACAGGGTTTCTCCACGTTGGCCAGGCAGGTCTCGAACTCCTGACCTCAGGTGATCCACTCACCTTGGCCTCCCAAAGTGCTGGGATTACAGGTGTTAGCCACTACGCCGATTGTTAATTTTCTGTAAGGAAACGAGGGATGGGGTGAAGCTAACATTAACTTTCTACGTGCCAAGCTCCATGCCAAACTTTTATATAGATTCTTTTCACCAATTAATTTCATCCTCACTTTAGTCTGGTAAATTGGTTGGAAAACCTAGATATACAATATTTAAGGAGTTAAAAGCAATGTTCTTAATTGAAAATTCAAATAATTATTAGCAATTTTAATATATGTTAAACATTAATTAATATTTAACTATTAATATTATTAATCATGTTTTTCAGCACTGTTTCATTAAGTGAGAGAGCCCACCAAGCACTTGTTGTATGGAAAACACAAAGTAACAAATTATCACTAACTGCTGCAGCTTTAAGAGATCAACTAATTCGAGCACTAGCTATGATAGGAGCATATGAAATTATGGACAAAATAACAGCTTTAAATCTTTTTACACGTGCAATTAAATTCTAACCAGTGGATCAATATTAAAAACTGAAAACTTCTGATGCACTTATAATTGAAACTGTTTTTGAACCATCTCACTTCACTTTATCATACAATGAATTGCATCTCTTTTCTTGCATTCTTAAGAGATCATGACGACTTATAACTACCACTCTAATGTTATCATAATAAAATATTGCAGACACTGGTGTGTTTGTTCTGTTGTCTCATTATAGTGATGTTGAATTTGAAAATAATCCTATTAAAACTTTTCTATTATATAATGCTTTTATACAATACATGATTTATAGGTAGCAACATTACTAGTAATTTTCACTGGGGTTAGAAAGCAGAACAGTTTCTTTTTAGATGCTGGCTTAAAACATAAATAAATATACCATCCTTACTTTTTCTCCACTAGGAATTGGATAGCTTTGTTAAACATAAACTAGGGCCAGGCCAGTAATTCTTTAGTTGAGTGTCCAGACAGGATTGATAGAGTGGCCATCTGTTGTCTAGTCTGTCATGTGTGCCTCTCCCCTTCTTCTGCTATCAGAAAACCTCTTTCATACGGGGAATGCATTGCACATATTTCAATGTGGAGCTGAACTTGTCAGGTAAGTTTCTTCCCCCGCACCAGCACTAACATCAATGTCTTCTACCCATTTAACCTCAATGATTGATTCTGACTCAGGGAAAGCCATTTGACTCAAGCCAGGCCATTAACAGTTTCCCTTAGATGTTTTTGCAGAGCTACCAGGGAAGATACACTCTTCCTGCAGGTAGGTTATGAGTCTTGGAGTCTTGGTATATTATGCACAGTGTTTAGTTGTCTGCTGAGAGCTGGATGGCGAGAGAGAGATGGAATCTTGCTTATATTGTCTGATCCTCAATCCCCCTATCTGAAGCTAATTTTACTTCTGAACTACTTACTTTTCACCCACTTAAGGAATGTGACCTGAGATTCCATAACTTTGAATGGAAAAAGACCTAATACAAGCAATTAACAATATTGTGGACATGCTGGGCACAGTGGCTCACGCCTGTAATGCCAGCACCTTGGGAGGCCGAGGCAGGTGGATCATCTGAGGTCAGGAATTTGAGACCAGCATGACCAACATGGAGAAACCCCGTCTCTACTAAAAATACAAAATAACTAAGGCATGGTGGCAGGTGCCTGTAATCCCAGCTACTCGAGAGGCTGAGGCAGGAGAATAGCTTGGACCTGGGAGGCAGAGGTTGCAGTGAGCCGAGATCGCACCATTGCACTCCAGCCTGGGCAACAAGAGCAAAACTCCATCTCAAAAAAATATATATGTATACACATATTGCCATAGTGCAGTTTTTGTTACCTTAAAAAATAATTTTCTATGTGAGACCATATTAAGGAAAGGAATTTATTTTGCAGGCTGAAATTTAAAGTGTATATTGTGTTGTCATTTTGGAAGTGCAACATAATATTGGTTTACCAACTATACAGCCTGTGTCTCTAATCCTTCCCTATTTTAAAACTTCTTGCAGTAGGGATAAGAGTACCTGTGGGTTTATATTGGCTTAATGCTGGTTGTTGTTAATGTTTTCCACTGGAGGCAAGGTACTTCCATACAACATTAAAGTGTGAAAGACCTTGGAAATTGTCTAGTGAAGTCTATCTTTTTTTTTTTTTTTCCCAGAGACAGGGTCTAGCTATGTTGCCCAGGCTGGAATGCCATGGCTATTCACAGGCACAATCCCACTACTGATCACGGGAGTATTGGCCTGCTCTGTTTCCGACCTGGGTTGGTTCACCCCTCCTTAGGCAACCTGGTGGTCCCCTGCTCCCGGGAGGTCACCATATTGATCCTGAACTTAGTGCGGACACCCGATCGGCATAGCACACTACAGCCCAGAACTCCTGGGCTCAAGCGATCCTCCCACCTCAGCCTACAGAGTAGCTGGGACTACAGGACGTGCCACCGTGCCCGGCTATTTTTTTTTTTTTTTT